ACACACACACACACACACACACACACGTGCACTCATCATATTATACAGCCGCTTAAAGACAATGACTTACAATTTGTATCTCTTGTGTCGTGATTTAGCGGTGTTATTTGAATTTTTAGAGCAAAGTGTTTTTGTGGGAGAAAAATACTTCTTCTATAAGTGCTTTTTAAAAAAAAAATTTGCGGGATGAAAATGGAATAGAAAATGTACTTGTGTGATGCTAGTTAAAGTACATACTTTGTTAAAAATGAAGCTTAATTCTTTATTCTCACTGTCTACTCTTTCCACCCTGGGATTGGGTATACGATGCAATGAAAAGCTTTTCACTAATTTCACCTGTCCCTGTTCTAAATGATCGTATCGAATAATAAAAAAGAAACAATAAATATATAGTATTTATAAAGCGCATACCCACGCTTGACAGCAACCTCCATGCGCTTTTTTTACACTATATCAGTATTACCCCAGCAGACCATAGAACACTCAGAAACATTCTCAATCTCAGCTTCTCGGAAAGCATACACTGCAAGCAGCTCAACAAGCGCTCAAACACAAACAAATTGTCAAGATCTTTCACTGTCTATAGCTGGGTACCCATTCCTACCCATATTATTATTGTGTACTTCTAATCAGCGTGCCTCATCTGTTGTTTGAGATCCTCTCCAGATTTTGTTTCCTTGTGGAACTGAACCACATCGTTTATGTACACAATTCGAAAAGCTTAAACATCTACAAAACACTTGCCAATAGGAGTTTTAGGACTCATTCTAATAGCCAAGTACAGAGAAGGCTGACGGGCAGGCTCTAGGGTGAGGAGTCGATAGACAGACAGATCGATATATAGATCGATCGATCGATCGGTAGACAGACAGAGAGACTGACAGGCAGACAGACAGACAGACAGACAGACAGAAACAGACAAAAAGACGGACGGACAGACAGACAGACAGACAGAAACAGATAAATAGACAAATAGATAGATAGATAGATAGATAGATAGATAGATAGATAGATAGATAGATAGATAGGTAGATAGACAGACAAAGAGACAGGCAGACATACCCACAGACAGACAGACGGACAGACAGACAGACAGACAGGCAGACAGATAACAGTTGTGTCACGTGACTCACCCAGGGAGTGCCCCAGGAGTTGCGAACGATCCAGAACTCGGTACCATTCTCCACTCCCCACCCGCTGATGGTGACTACGTGGTTGGGCTGAGGAGACGAGACAAGATCATAGATGTTGTTGTTAGCTGCTTTATGATGTTTCTTCTCCACTTTCTTTTTGAATTGGGGAATGACAGATGATGATGCTGATGATGCTGATGATGATGGTGATGATCATGATGATGTCAAGATCTCTCATGTAGATATATGCCACTACTACTAATACTACTACTACTACATTTGGCTTACTCTCAGTAGCTCCTGAGGAAGACTTCGTGACGAAACGCGGAGGCGATTTAACATACTAAATTTTAGATATTTTATATTTATACTTTTTGTCTGCCCATGCCCTTCCCTGTTGTAAAGAGTCGTTGCAAAGCCGGGAACATTGAAGTTCCTGTCACCTAGTCTGGTTTCCTGGAGGCATATGATATCTGCTCCGTAACATAGAGTCTCAAAGATGTTGTATGCGGACTGGAAGGCAACGATCAGGGAGAGCAGCCTGGAAAGAGTGGCCTGGATCTTCTGCCCGGGCCACGCGGGGGGTAACCGGCAACGAGAGAGTGGACAAGCTGGCTGGTGAAGCAAAAGTGGGAGGGAATTTGACACTAGACCCACCAACTGTCCTAACCGCTGTGAGGGAAAATTTGAGGAAGAATAGGGCGGAAAGCGGTTCACACTCTAGGTAGATTGAAGGAGAAGGGGGTCCAAAGAGGAGAAGGGAAACACAGCCACCTGTGCGGAGCAGTCCGACGGATCTCCAACCAGATTATGATGGAGACTATAAGCAGACAGACTCTGGGATGGATCCTGCAGAGGGGGGGGGGAGCAGAGATGGACATGTTCCGACTGCAGTGGCCCCAACACAGTGGACAAGTAAGATAAGTAAGTAAGTAAGACTTTTGTCTGCAAATCTATCAAGACTGTCCCTACCTACTCTGCTTTTAAATAAAACAATGATGATGAATGTGATGTTGAGGAGGAGGAGGAGGAGGAGGAGGAGGAGGAGGAGGAGGGAAAGACTTTGACATACCCCTGCCGATGGGTTGTACTCGCTGTAGATTCCTCCTGTATACTGGTGGAGTTTTTCAGTGGCGTCAATCAGACAGCTGTTGGGTAGGAGAGAGGAACACAATGTGTTAAACGACTTGGTGGAATCAGGCGCTCGTCAATTTTGGGGCATATGGAGTTATTGGGATCATCTTAAAACCGTGTTGATTTATCTTGCTTTGGGTGGAAAAAAATACCTATCCATCTTGAGTAGAATTTTGAGATATTTATTATTAAGGGGCTCCAGTGGCTAAGTGGGTAGTGAGTTTTGACTCAAGCAATGTCAAGCAAGTGTCGGTGACACGGGGAACGGATGGGTGGTCACTGGGGTGTGTCCTTGAGCAAGATACGACAACCCTAGCTCAAAATACAGGGCGCTGTACAGTGGCGACCGACTGTGGCATTGTTTGTAGACTGTTTTGTATTTGTGTAATAGTGTGTATTTATGTATGTATTTTTGCATGTAAGTATTTATGTATGTACGTATGTATAATTATGTATTTATGTATGTATGTTTGCCATTGTAAAACAAAGTGCCTTTCTGGGACAAAAAGTGTAATTTATTTATTATTTATTTATTTATTTTAAAGGAAGTGGGGATAGGTGAAATTGTTTAGAAAATGGCCACCAAAGTTTGGTGAAATCCAAAGCTTGAGTTTGAATGTCCTTTGAACCTGCAAATTTACAATTTTTGTGCCTTTGATCAATGTTTTTCAGAAAAAGAATACAGAGACCTCACCAAGGTCAAAATAAGCATGGGCAGGGACAGAAGAAATGTTTCGGCTTCCATCAACGAGAGCGATGTCAACGAGATTGTAGACACAAACTCAAAAGTAGGGGATCCTGTAATTTATACAGATGGTTCTGTGAAAAGAGATAGCCAGCGAAGTGGATGGGGATTTGTTGCATTCGCCAACAATAAAATCATACACAGTGCATCTGAAGCGTGCAGCAGGGCTACATCAAGTATGCGAATGGAAATTGAAGCCATCACGAAAGCACTTGATTGGATGACCCAAGATTGCCCACACACAACTCATGCTGTTCTTATCACTGATTCCATGCGTACCCTCCGAAGGATCGAAAAAAGTTTCCTGAGAACAGAATGGATTCAAGTTATCGAAGCAACGCCTATACGTTTGCTCACATGGATTGTCTGCCCTGGCCATGCAGGAGTTAGGGGAAATAAAAATTAAAGCCGACAGACTGGCTGGTGAGGCTACCTCAGTTGACAGCACGGTTCAACCAGATAGGGTCGAGATCCTGAAATGTCTCTCTCGCCAGCTGATTGAGGAGGAAGATAAGGAGGCCAGTACTGCCGTGGATAGGTTGATGTTTTTGGCTTAGGCTAAAACAGCACCTGGATATGGATGGCTGGTGCCTCTATAAATAAATCATTGATGGTCAAGATGCTTTTGGAAATACAAAAAGGAAGCGGAAAATCTGGCATCCTTGCTGGAAAGAACAGTAGAACGTTCAACTAGATGCACAGGCACAATCAGTGGAAAGACCCTCGGCGACATTTTGGAAAGAGCAACGGAGCATCAATGGACATGTCCGGAGTGCAGGGATGTTGCTTCCTGAAACAATGAACAATGAACAGTAAAATCCACACCGAAATGTGTGTTTTTTTATGTACAAAAAGGACGTGAGCCAGACTACTGTATTACAATCAACTACGGATGAGTCAAAAAAGGGGGGAAAAGAAAAGGAAAACTTGAAAAAAAAAATGCCCAACGGCTAGAAGACGCAGGTTTCTTTGATTTCATTATTTTGACAAGCGCCTGATTCTACAACGATGTCTTACTATGTTGCAATACTCAGGCCAGCTTAGTACAAGATCAGTGGTGGTGTTCTTCTGTTTGTGCGTTTGGTTCGTTTATTTGTTTGTTTGTTCGGTGTTTGTTTTTGTGGCTTTTGGTGGCAATTGAGATGAGCTAGCGTGTGCGGAGAGAGAAAGGAGAGAGAGAGAGAGGGAGAGGGGGGGGTAATAGAAAGAGAGTGAGGGGAGGATTGGGATGGGAGAGAAGGGGGATGGGGAAGGAGAAAAGAGAGAGGGGGGAGAGAGGGATTGGCGGAGAGTAGGGGAAAATGGAGACAAATGGACAAAAGGTGAAAAGAATAGAAGGGGAGAAAGAGAGAGAAAGAGAGAGAGAGAGAGAGAGAGAGAGAGAGAGAGAGAGAGAGAGAGAGGGTGTTAAGACCAACACCGGTTTGATGAGATAGAAGAGGAAGAGGACATCCACTGTTGGAGGACGGCAAAAGTAGAACCAGTTACAGCTAGTGCACGTATCTAGTATCTGTGAAAGCCAATAACATTTATACTTTTATATTCACATGATAAGGGATGAGGCAATCGCCTAGGTCCTGGATATGCTGAGATCGGAGAGAACGTGAAGAGAAAGAGAGAGAGAGAGAGAGAGAGAGAGAGGGGGGGTGGGGGTGTTAAGACCAACACCGGTTTGATGAGATAGAAGAGGAAGAGGACATCCACTGTTGGAGGACGGCAAAAGTAGAACCAGTTACAGCTAGTGCACGTATCTAGTATCTGTGAAAGCCAATAACATTTATACTTTTATATTCACATGATAAGGGATGAGGCAATCGCCTAGGTCCTGGATATGCTGAGATCGGAGAGAACGTGAAGAGAAAGAGAGAGAGAGAGAGAGAGAGAGAGAGGGGGGGGGGGGGTGTTAAGACCAACACCGGTTTGATGAGATAGA